AGATTAAAATATTTGTAATTATAATTACTTTAGTATAACTAGCAAGTTATAAAGTATTTATGTAATTAGTTATATAAAGAAATATAAACTGAAGTAATGCAAACTTAAGATAAATTCTTATTGCTGTATAAATTTGTAAAAATTAAAAAACAAGAAATTCATTTAGAAATATTAAAGTAAAGAAATAATACAAATTTTTGATAATACTATTGTAAACTTAGATCTAAAAAATAAATACCAATATAGAGTATCTAAATAAGTAGAAATCTCTAAATAAGAGATATTATTAACTAGGTTACTAGAATTTTAAGAAGATTAGAAGAAAAAGATATTAGACTGATCTGATATATCAATAAACTAATTATAATTCTACTGAAGTATCTAGATTAAAAGTTTGAAAAAAAACAGATATATATTAAATCTTCTAAAGATATGCTTTGAAACAGATATTAAAATTAGATAAACTTTGCAAAAACAATTTCTGTTAATAAGTTATAAAGTAGATAAATTAGTTAATAAAAGGCTTTTTAAATCTTACAGCTAGATAATATGTTCTGAAATTAGATATCAGCTTAATAAATATACAGAAAAAAAAGCAAAAATGTGGTAATTTAGTAAAGTAAATAGGTTATCAATCTTAAGTAGCAGGTCTAAGGTTCAATTCTTACAAATGATGAATTTTGGAAATTATATTTGTATTATGGTAACTGTTTCTTGTTGATTGATTAGGTTTATATATCTGTAATATTAAATACACCAGATTGGATCTACCTAATTTTGGAAGCTCAGGACATTTATATAAAATAAAATGTTATATATATATAGAGGAATGTAAAAAAACTAATATAATATAAGGCTTCTGTGCAAACTTATAATAAAACCACTGGATATAAAAAACTAAAAAACCAAGAAGACAGAAACTTATTTAAAAATCCTGAATAAAGTAGTAATACAAACTTTTGATAATAGTGTTGATTCAATAGAAGCTCATAAAACACTTCTAAAGAAATTATTAGATAAAACTAAATATTAGATATATAAGAGAAGCACATAACTGCTAGAATTGCTAGAGAAAAAGAATATATAAGTATACCATACCAGACTATCTAGATTGGTAGTTTAAGAAGTTTTATCAGTTTTGGATAGCAGTTAATATGAAATAATAAAAAAGATGTTAGAAAAGATGAATATTAGGGTTTAGCTGAACTTTGGTAATAGTAGTTTAATAAATAACTCTAATCACAAGTTTTGGTCTCAACTATAATGAAAAATCTAAGTTAGCAGTAGATAAAGAATATATAGCTTACTCTAATAGGTTTACTTTAAAGATAAAATTGTTCTAAGGTTGAAATAAAAGAATTTAGATTAAGTGATCTGATGAAGTTAATATTAGGATCAGATTAGTAAGTTTAAATAGAATATTTAAGCAAGGGTATTAGGTATACCAACTGGTAAAGAACTTTTGGACAGACTTCTTAAATAAATAATATAAAAAAGTTATATATATAGACAGTTATATACTTGTTTGATAGTTTAATATAAATATGTCTATATAAACATATATCTAAGATAAGTATTTATAAAAAGTTAAAAGACCAAAAAGGTTATCTTAATACTGAAAAAAAAGTATAATGCTAGATTATATAATACTTATATAGATATACAAGAACTAAGATGACTAATTACTTAAATATAATATAGAAACCAAAGTGTTTAATTAGATAGTCTTCTAGTAAATTATAAGTATAACAACTAATATAGAATTCTTAAATGAATTACTTATATAAGTAATTAAAAATTATATATATAACTAGTTATACACTTATTCTGTATAAGTAATATATAATATATTAATTAAAAATACAAATAAAGATATTAATTATTATTAATATTAATCTTAATAATATTGGAGTATGGCAACCTAATGAAGTAGTCAGGTTGTCAACCTTCAAATAGTAGATTGGATGTTCAAATTTCATTAATAGCAAAAATTTAGATAATTACTTATATAATATTCATATTATAGCAACTGTTATTAATAATTAAGTTAGAATACCTGTAATGGTAGTTATATTAGCATAACTGACAGGTTATAGGACATCTATGTAACTTGATAATAGAGGAATGCAAACTGACAAATCAGATAGTACAAATACTAGATAAGTTTTTGTAATTATATAAATTTGTTGAAATTAAATAACAAAAAATCTATTTAAAAAGATCTAAGTAAAAAGATAATCAGATCTTCAATGATTCTACTGTAAAAACTAGCTTGAAAAAATAGATGCCAAGGTCATAGTACTTAGTTATAATAGTTGAATAGACAAAAATCTCCAAATTGGAAGTTTCAGAAGTACTATTAACCAGGCTATTATAATAAACTAGGAAAAAAAGATATTAGGCTAATCTGATATATCAATAGACTGATCATAATCCTATACAGGCTATTTGAATTGGAAGTTTAATAAAAAAGACTGAACAAAAAGCAAGAGTATACTAAAATACTAGAGTTATGCTATGAAGTAGATGCTGGAGTCTATGTAAACTCTACAAGATCATAGTAATTAAATGATATAATTCTAATTACAAGTATTGGTTCTGCTATAACAATATCTAAATTAATTATAAAAATAAGTATAGAAAACTCTGAAAAGTTTATTTTAAAAATAAATTAGTCCTAAGGTTAAGACAATGATCTGAACATCTGGGTATGATTCAGTGAGTTAATACAAGTTACAGATTCAAAAGGTTTAAATTAGAATATCTAAGCAGAGGTATTAGATATGACAATTGATAAAAATCTTCAGACAGACTCTTTAAATAGGTAATATAAAAAAATTATACATGTAACCAATTGTACTCTCTTCTGTAATGATTTATAGAATTACATTACCAATAAGTTATTAATAAAAGTCAAAAGATCAAAGAGATCATCTTAATACCAAAAAAAAAAATTAATCTTAATAAAAAAAAAAGAAATATATATATATATTTATAATCTTTTTGATCAAAAAATTTTTTAACAAATTCAAACTCAATACCAATTATATAGTTCTACCAAAAAATTCTAATATCTAAAATCTCAAAAATTCATAATTCCAACATCATGCAATGTGACAATTAAAATTTAAAACCTGACAATGATCATTAATGTGATTACTGATCTTTAAATATTAATTGTTATACTACATGATGTCAGGATTATGGGTTTTGAGATTTCAGATATTGGGATTTTATGATAGAACCTTGTATAAATATATTTCTTTAGTTTGTAAGTATAACTGTTTGACTAAAAGATTTTCAAAATATTGTAGTTGTGTATAGTAATTTTAGAAAAAATAAAAAAAATATATAAAGGATGTTTAATAGTTGTTAAATATATAAAATTAAGGGTCGCAAGTACTTACCTTAATATTTAAAAGAATATATATATAAAATCAATATAATTGGGTTCTACTATAAAATCTCGACATCTAAAATCTCGAAAACCATAATCCCGACATCACGCCGCGTAACAATTAATATTTAAAGATTAGTAATCACATTAACAATCATTGTCAGGCTTTAAATTTTAATTGTCGCATCGCGTGATGTGTCGGGATTATGGATTTCGAGATTTTAGATGTTAGGATTTTTTGGTAGAACCTTTATACAATTCTATAAACAATAATTTTATTATTTATACAGATGGCTCAGTTATCAACATTGGATCAGATGAATCTAAATTAACGAACATAACCAAATCATCCAAAAATTTTCAATTCTGACCATCACCTTACAAAACCAAACTATATATTAATAAATGATATTTAAAAAACTTTTTTTTTAAAAAAAATAATTTAATTTTTGATAAAGATAAATCAAATGTAAAATTCTTAAAAATTCTAACAGGCAAATTTGTCTGCGGTTTAAGGGATACCAAATCGATCAGCCGATTTTAAAAAAACGACCAGCTAAGCTGATAATTTGCTTTAGCCGATTTTTTTCACTATCGACCAAAATCATTCCAAAATCGTACGGGTCGCTGATCCGGACCCTAGTTGCGGCAGCTATGGTCAATATACTACACCAAAATGCAACATGTTAAAACTTTTTGCAGATAAAACTGACAGTTAATTTTGTAGAGCTCAGTCCCATATATAAAGTTGTCGGTTGACTTTTTTAAAAAAACTTGTACGTAAAAGGTTCTTAGCATTTTAAAACTATTGTATTTTTGTCGAGTATAAGCTTCTGATACATCTTTTCACCAGATTGTTAACCTTTTACTTTTCATCTCTTTAACAAGTAACATTTAATTAGTAATAATGATGTGGAATTAATGAAATATGTTGCATTACAGTTCGAATACTTCAAATATAATTAATGCACTTGATCATGTTTCATAGTCACGTAAGCTCTTCGAAAATCGAAAATGTACGTACCGTAAGATGTATAAAAAATCTTCAATGAATCTTCAATGAATCGTGTAACCGATCTACAAATGATAGTATAGTCGACGTTACCCAAGCTTTTGGAACGAAACCATGAGATATATTAGTTCGGTGATATTAAAAAGCCAGTGTGATACCAGTTTGGTAACATCGTTACCTTAACTTGGCCAAGAAATAATTTGTACTTTTTAGAGAAATAAGTTTTTCAACTAACCTCTTCGAAATTAAAAAAGTTTCCCGACAAATTTGCTATGTTGTTATATTTAGTCAATAATTTTGTATTATAAATTTTATCATATATATATTACATCGAAATCTATTATAACGATATCCGCAACATTCTAGAACCTATTATGACATACGGTATGTATGTGCGTACGTACGCACGTACATACTTCTATGCTCTATATCTGTCAAAAATGAATGGGAAGAAATTTTTTTTGTATGCGATCGTCATATGTGATACAAGATCACGTACGATATTTTGCAATACATATATAAATAGGTCTTTTTTATTTTGCTTTTCTCTGCCTTCCATTAACTATTAAAACAAATTGGCCTTTAAATAAAATGCCAGTGCGGCACTTGTCAGATGATTTGATTCATGATATCTTGCAATACCTCCGTGAGGATCAAGACGCTCTTTACAATTCTCTATGTGTAAACCGTTTTTGGAGTAGTCAAGTAGTTCCATTACTTTGGTGTCAACCATTTGTAAATTGTCCTCTTTCAAAACGGCATTTACTCATAAGAACATATATATCATGTTTTAATACGGATGAACTTACAAATCTAAGTCCGTATAAAATTAATCTTGCTGAAGTCCAACCTACTTTGTTTGATTATTCAAGATATCTGGAAAGTATTTCTGACTGTCATTTGAATTCAAGTGTTCTTGATTGGGTTCATAAGCAGATAAATCAGAAATTCTCTGATTTTCCCGTTGGAGCAATTACATCATCTCTGTGGCACATGTTTTTACGTAAATGTGTGAAGATACAATCGATTTTAATTTCTCCTCATTATTATAGTTCTCATCTTCCAACATTGAAATCAACATTAGTGACAAGTACTGCAATTCATTCTTTACGCTGTTTGGAAATTGTTATTGATCAAGATTTCATCAAAGGGAAGTTTCCAAACACAGTAGAAATCTTTAAACAGTTGTCTTTGTTATGCGTTAACATTGAGTATATTGAAATAAAAATCTTGAGAGAGACAAATCCTTTAACTCAACAATTAATAATTGATATTATTAAAGCTCAACAAAATCTTAAAGAGTTCAAATTGACCGAGAATTGGATTTATCCAACAAACATCATGACGTCTTTGGAAGTTCACGCTAATCATATTACTGCTTTAGGTCTATTTTCTTTTCTCTTTGATGATACTTCGATTAAAGTTTTATCCAGGTTCACATGTCTGGAATCACTTCAACTTCACAATTGCAGTTGTATTGAAAAGTATCCAAACAGAATTTTATCTGACGCAATGTTTAATTTAAAGTCTCTATTCATAGTCGGCACTCCTTCAAGTCTAACTACTTCAATAATCGCCAAAGCAGGCCATATGTTACAGTTATTAGTTATGGACTGTGTGAATAGCGATATGATTGATTTTGCTTCAAAATATTGTCCAAACATTTCCATGTTATACGTTGAGTTAACCCAAAACGATTATACACTTTTGTTTCCTTGGATTGGATCACTGCAGTTGGAGACTCTTGAAATTAAATGTTCTGTCGAATCTCGTAATAGAACTCATTTACTTAGTGCAAATGATAGTGGAAAATTTTTGCAACTTTTAAGCCAACATTTGCCTTTGACTTTGACTTTTTTGAGATTAGAAGGAATGGAGATTTTGCCGGAGGATTTCAATAATTTCTCAAAGAATTGTAATGTTCCTTTACAAACATTTATTATCCAAGGCATTTTGAAGCACTATAATGATGATGAAGTACTTTGTTTAATCTCTCAATTTGCTACCTTACACAAAACCTTGGAACTTTTTGGTATCGACCGTGAAGTTATACCTCAAAAGTGGTCAAAGAAATTGAAGAAACTTGGGATTGAGATCTTTTCTATTGATGATTTTGAAACATTATATAAAAGCTACTGATTTACTTTATCATAATATTGCATTGGTTTTGTGCTTAAACTGTCTACAAATTTTCCTTGAATCACTTATTTAGCCTAATGTAAATTTTCCGTGTAAAAAAATTCATTATAATATCCCTAAATTAAGTGTTTCAATTTATTTCAATATAGAAGTTGTTTCGATTATTTTATAATCATTTAATAAATCTACATAAAAAAAAAAAAAAAAGAACAAATTGAAATTGTAAGTATTTAAAAACACGTTTCATTTTATTTATTTAATTATTCAAGCAACTAATTTAAAAAACTAAATATTGAAATTTATACTGTATCTGCTAATATCGTGCTAATGCATAAAAACTATGTATTACACTGTAAAAACAAGAACGATCTATTGCTTCCTCATTAAAGCCTCGATTATTAAGTACTAAAATATTACGATTAAACTCCAAAATTATATGGATTTTTTTTTTTCAAGAGTGGTATATTCTACAATTTTAAATAAATAACAATAATATCTATGGCTATTTTAGTGATGAATTTGTGCTGAATCTAAAGTTGTTGATGGAATAATATTATACAATGAGGCAGTGCGTAAAAGAAATTTCTGTAATGCTATCCGTACTTCAGCAGCAGTAATATTGTGTGATAATAGATTAATCGCTTCCGAATAGAAGTCAGGAAGGTATCGTATAAGCTGATAAGAAAAATATAGAATAGTTTAGTTAACGTCAAAAATATATATACACAAAAACATGTTACTGATCATACATCATCATCTTTAAAGTGGATGTATGCATTTAGAACTGTAGTCACAATAGGTGCCCATGCGTTAATATTCCGTGTTTGTGACTCGGGGTCCAATGAATTGAAGTGTTTCAATATTTGCTGTGTCAACCTATCAGAATAAATACTATATTTTAGAGTGACTTTGCATAAACGAAATCCTGATCTTAATAATTAACTCACGGTATTAGCTTTTGTTCAACATCTAGTTTTCTCTCAAGACGGTTTGGGGAACTATCACCATGCATTCTTCTCAAAAGATCTAGATAACACGATGCACTGCTTGATTCTTGCTTAAGCATGTTGGGCAATTGTTTCATAAGCCCTGAAGAAAAAGAAAAAAAAAATATATATACATTAGCATAATTTATTTGGAAATGTAAACGCGATACCTTATAAAATATATAATGCACCTATTTTCCAGAGTGCCACTCTCAATTCTTTATCTTCATTGAATTTTCGAGCAAAGCTATATGATTGGTTTAAGCATTCGCCAATTATCAATAAATGCACGGCGGGAATTGACTCGTATACCGTATCATTACTTAAAAATTCGTTTACAGTATCTATTAGCAGTAGTTGAAGCAGGCACTTTATAATAATTTTATTGAATTTTTGGGTTCTTTGCTCATCATGAGCCACGGTTGTTGATGTATGTTCATGTTCGGAATAATGTTCTTCAATCATGGATCGAGTGTTCAAATCCACTTCAGAAACGAATCCATTCACATTATGCCCATTTTGTCCTAAACCAAAAGTATAAGAACAGCTGATAAATGACCACAGATTATATATTAATATAATAATTACCACCATATATTTCGTTAACCCCATTTGATTTTTCCGAAAATTGGTTTGCAGCATCAATGAAATAGTGACCTTCGTCAAGTAAATTATTTGGCGTAGTTGTTTCAAATAATTGGACAAACATTGTGCTAATTTTTCCCCAATGCTTATAGTCAAGCTTCTTTACATTATCTTCAATTAGTTGTTGTAAACAAGAGCTCCCAATACGCGCAAGTGTATCGTTTTCTAAAGATATGTATGATTATGAATATACAAAGTATATCATTCATGTAACAAATCTTAAATATAACCCATTACCTTGTGTTATACAAGAACCAAGTAAATCTAATATCCCATCAATCATTACCTCAAGCGTGTCAAAATAATGTGTGAACAAATCGATCATATTACGAAGAGCTTGGATCATAGTTGTTGATAACCAAACACTCATATCTTCTTGACTTGAAAATTTGGATATATCCGAACGTGATCTTAATACACCAAAAATAGGAAAAAGAACTTGACGACATATTACGCTCCAAAACTCTAAAGAATATGTAACTCCATATTTTTTAAGGGTGTCAAACATAGAAACTAAAGCTCTAAGATGAAATCAAGAAAATTAGACTTCATAATGATTTATTATTATTAACATATACAAATATAACAACGTTCTAACCTTGTTCTAACTTCCAAATCTTCTCCATCCATTATAACATCATGGAATCCAACTAGTAATGGATACCAAAATTTGAATGAAGGATCATCATTGGTAATTCCTTTGACTTCACTCGCATTCGCCACACCATTAGGTCCATTAATAGGATGATGTATTTTATATTGTGGATACTCTAGCATCTTTTCTATAGACATGCACATAGTATCAATTGCTTGAAGACTTTGTTTAAATGGAAAATAATAAAATAATCAATTTCCAATTAATCAAATAGTAAGCACTATTTAAATAATAATATAAAATATATTACCTTGTTTTTTGAAATCGATTGTTTTTACAAAACTCTGTAAGACAAATCATAAGATCAGGGTAGGTACTATTGGATACAATACCATCAAATTGATCTTTTACTATCATTTTAACAGTGTCGAATGCCATTACAACAATGGATTCTAAAAATAAGACAATTACGTAAGTAAATTTGTATAAACAGTTCAAAAAGTTTGTTAAGCCGAGATTTACCATTAGTTTCTTTTGCTGCAGCTGACAAAACACCAAATAAAGCCTTCCATCCAGATTTGATGTTGTGTGATCGAGCTTGTATCATTTGTTGAACGCAACACAACACCTTGAACATATACAAATATAACCATGCATCATTTAATACGAAGAGACTATAATTAATTTTGCAGAAATATTATAAAAGGAAAAACAATTACCATGTCTTTTATGGAAATATTGGCATTATTGACTAATATGTATTCAAAAGGCCTCAAAAAGTCCTTCTGAAATTTAAAATGAGGAAGTTCTTCCTTTTCCAAAAATTGCTTTGCAAGCTGACGAAGAGAATCGATGGCAAAGAATCCAACATTTATATTTGGGTGACATCCAACCTATATTATTATATGTTATTAATGTGTGTAATATATCGTAAAGTTAATGAACTAATAATATTTATTTACCATATTGAAATGATCACCTAATATGGCCCAGATATTAGACCATTCCATTCGGATACGACCCATATTATAATATGAAATCTCAACTAGTTTTTGTAAACTAAACATTCTTGGATGCTCAGTCATGGTTGAAGACTGTATTTCTTTCCACGAAACACAACTTAATGCTCGCACAAATTCTACTATAGCGGTCTGGAATAGTGAACAATTACAGTTAATATGTTGAATAAACATTTTTTTTTTAAAAAAAAACAAATAAATCAAAAAGAATTATACCCCAGAGAGATTTGAGCTCGAGCTAAAAACTTTATCAACAGCAACGACCACATGGGATGACCTACTTTCTAACGCAACATCTTCTGCAAATGTTATCTTTTACATTGATTAAACGAAAGCATAGATACAGATTAGTTAAACAGATTAGTTAAAGAATTCACAATAAAGTTTAGTCATGGATTATAAATCACCTGAGGTGCGGGCCTTGATGAAAATGACCTTTTTGAAGCTGAACTGCTACGTCTTGCCCCATTATCAACTGAAGATGGTCTAATTAATATGTAAAGTAAATAAATAAAACTTGATTAATTATATAAACAAAATATACATAAAAAAACTAACCTTGGTTGTTTTCTGGCATTAAACAAGTCAGGTACTGAAGTTTGATCCACCCCAGTGCTTATTAGCTGGAATCTCTCCAGTTGACTAACACAAGTCAAAACCTCCTGCCAGGATCCTTTCAAGTAATTTCCTTCCACTAATGCTATATCTAAAAGAGTCTTAATAGCATCTACGTTTTTAGGTCTCATTTCACCTAAGTTGTTCAAAAATGTGAATTTGGCTAATGTAGTGACAAAAGCATTTCGTTCAAGTTCCATATCGAAAAGGCTTATTATACGAATAGCAAGCTTAAAGCCTTCCAATGCTAGACTCGCGGTTTCAATATCCTCTGTATCTTGAAGTGGGCCTGATAATCCAGCAAGAACTGGCATCCATGCAACTTCAAACATTGGACGTACATGTTCAAAATGAGAAGCACTATAAAAAGTCGTATTTGAAGTATCAACACCATGACGCTGTGCTCTTAGCATAGCCTTGAATAAGTTCTAAAATTGTATAAAAAAGCCAAGTTATAAACTTCAATAAATGATACTAATGGATTATTAATTATTTATATAAACCTCAGTTTTATTTGCCATCTCTTGAGAAGCAGCTTGATATGCTTCTCTTTTGAAATCTCTTCTAACATTAACAATAGCACTACCCAAATTCGCAATACCAATTCCACCTGAAGTCGGTGTCATTGGTTGCACCAGCGCAGCTTCTTCATCTTTCATTTTTATCTCGTCATTTTGTATCTCATCATATATAGCTGTCAGGTACTCTTCAGGCAAATCAGAGTTGTCATTTATTCCACGATTATTTTTTATGAATTCAGTTTTTGTCATGCGACGCTTTATTTGAGGATTGTGAAGATCAGTATTCAACATAATAACTGAATATGCAAGGACATAGGCGGTATCTAGAAATTAACAATGATAAATATTTAATCCTAAAATGAAATAAATTAAAACATATACATACTCCTATAGACCTATGTGATTATATACATCCAATTACAAGTTATAGACTGTTTTATAGTGCAAAAAAAGCACTATAACTCTTATAATTTGTAAAGGATTATATATGACACTCAGATAAAAGTTTTTATATTCTCATAGGATATGTACACATTGTTATTAGTCAAAATTAGGTACCTGCGTTAGCAAATTGTGTTGGGTTTCCATCTACATATCGTTCAGCAAATTTTAACATAAATCTATCAATTTTTTGAGCTTCACCAGGTAAACGGAAAGACTGTAAAAACTGCCGTAAAGCATCGACAAAATTCATATTTGAAAAATCCATTAAATCAACAAACGCATGCATAGTTGCAATATTTTCTGTATCACTAAAGTACCTCATTAAAGTTAGCTTAATTCTCGAGATGTTATAAAAATAAATGTATTGAAATTAGCTGGTGCTGAAATTTTGGTCTCTACTAAAATTTATAAATGTCAATTAAGATCCAATTATACACTTTTACTAACAATTTGACCATAAATAATAATCTTGACTTTAAATTCACTCCAAAAAATTTAAAATTTAAATATTTCAAAACTTCAGCATCGGCCGATTTAGCATTAGCTGCATAATAAATAATAATATACATTATTTACCCTTCACCCAAATATTCGCCGATCATGGTTTTATTTAATCCTTCCGTATTTAGCAAAAATTTGGCTATATCCAAGGGCTCAGTGCTAGGAATAAACCCCGCTGACACCAACGCTTTGACTCCCTATTAAAAAGGATACATTATTTTCATATTACTATAGTATTTTGAAAAATATGGACTTACCCTTTTTGGTTTAAAATTAAACGTTTTAATACCATCTTGAAGCACTTGCTTTCGATGCTTCAGATTTTCAAATTGCTCTGGATCATCCATAGCTTTTGGAATTACGCTTTTTATGTCAGATGAAGTATTAAAAAACGAGCCGGATACTGACATTGTAGAAGAAGATGGTGACGACTTGCTTGTATTTTGTATAGTAACTGGATTTTGAGATAATGCTAACTCAGTAACGGTTTCTTCACTTTTTCTGGTTGATTCATCTTTATAATCATCAATGCCTTCCACAGACGATTTATTACTACACCATGCAACAAGAGAACGTAAAATCGAAACAAGACACTCAAGTCCTTGATATTTTAATGCAAGTTCAGCAGGAAGATTTGGATGGGATTTTGATGTAGTATTAGTAGCTATGGATTTTGTGTCAAGAGATGGTGTAATAACATTTGTAGATTTCGCTGATGTGCTGGGAAGCGATGTTGTGGATGAATTAGGATTTTTATCCTTCTCAGAATTGGTGGAAGACGACATGCCAGATGTTGAATTTATTGCAGTATGTGTTGTGGTGATTTTTGAAACAATATTTACAATTCTAAGATAATAAATTTAAATTAACCAAGCTGTCATTTAATATTACATTTCAGAGTCTGAAAGAAAATTATTTAAAAAACATTCACCGCTCATATGTATTATCTAAAGCTTCTCTATCACAATCATAATTTAAATAAAGTTCCACTAGAGTTTGAGGTTCACTACAAATCCTTGAGAGGATATTCATTAATGCGTATTTTTGTTTCATTGAAGATGTCCTCATTTCTAGTATTGGAAGAAATATTTCTTTGAAAAATACTTCTATTTCCTTCTGTAAATTTGAATTTGTGACAATTAAAAAGGTGAAACAATGAATTGAATTATAGATGATTTAATTGGACAAATGTTAATGAATTATAACACTATTTGTTGATAACCAAATTATGTTGTATAAATATTACCTTCAGATGGCTTCTTAATTTATTCATACATTTCCAGAATATTTCAAGGCTAATTTCAAAAACCTGTGGTAAAGGGCTCACAGCGTTTCTACTCAAGCTCAAACATAAATATTGCTTGACTGCATGAACGAATGAGGTGCTCTCTTGTTTAGATGACACAAATATAACATTTGGAGAGGAAAATACATGTATATGTGCGCTTAATGTTGTCAATATTAGGTGTAATGACAAAAGCTTTGATCGCATTGGAGGAGATTTTAAATCTTTAGATGCTTCAGCGGACATGGGTTTCATAGATAATTTACATAAAGCACGAAACACGAGGAAAGCATCTTTAACATATAAATCATCCCGATTAACGGTATTAGTTTGTTCGAGAGTAGACACAGTATCAGATGATTGTTGATTCTCAGGATCTCTTTAAAAGTTTAAATAAATATGAGCGGGTATTCAATAGAAATCAGTGCTATTAATATAGTATTCTACAAAGACATACGATAATATTTTTCCTTTTGCCGTAAATTCTTCTGGGTCTTTGAAATTTACCATTTCTTGTTCAACAGCTTTCACAAGTTCTTCACTAGTTTCGTTAGATTCATTCCATTGCCCAAATTCCAGTGCATCAGAACTTTCCAATTCAACAGTAGAACCAGTAAATGCTGCTACTGCTTCAAAACTATCTCGCGTATCACGTTTACCATTTAACTCGTGACCATTTTTTTCATTATCATTGTTTTTATATTCATTTAAATTTGGGTTTTTACTAATTCCTAAATCGACCTCATTCTCACTTGATCTGTCAATTTCTATTGGATTATAATTATTATTTCTAAAATCTATGCCATTTTTTCTTTTCTCTAAAGGTGATTCAATATTTTCGTCAGTATTCACTTTGATGCGACTGAATACTTGATTAACCATTTGGGTTAATGTTCCTTGTGCAATTGTCTGATTAACAGAATTCCGTGAAAGTAAAAATATATTATAAGAATAACGAATTGATTTAAGAAGCGAGGATTGGTGAATAGGAGTCTTTGTTGATGAAACGGCAGCTAAAAGTGCCTTTTAATTTATTAGAGTTACAGTAGGTAAATATGAAAAATCAATTAACTAAAGTACATTATTTTAAGATTAAATAACTAAAATAAAAAATAAAATAAAATAAAACCTTTATAATCTGTAACTGTACTTTCTCATCAGTATTTTCACCTACAAAACAATCACAAACAGCATCAACTGCACGGTCAACCAGAGGTTTTTTGCTTTCGTCTTGAGCGTCTTTTGAAGAATCATCTATGTCATCCACGTTTTCTGATATATAGAATCCATTGGTTTCTATCAGATAATTATATGAAAAAAGTTTTTCAATACAGTCTAACGCTGTAATCATTAGTGCTATAATCCTTGTTTTACATGCTGCCTGAAGTGGTTCGAAAATGACGTCTGCATTGCTAATATCAACAAATCAAAGTTAAATTTAACTTTTTGCGTGAGAAGATTTAGTTTAAATTAATACCTTGGTTCTCCAGAATTTTCGTCTTTAATCGATTCTTAAAATTTACAAAGTTTAATGAGTTAATAATGATGATTAGAATTAAAAGCAATCAGCACTAACAACACATGATATTTATGAAATGAAAATAAAATTATATAGAAGTGGCCGACCTAAAAATTAGGATATTCGTCCATTGTGTATTAAATTTATATAATTTTTAAGCTTAATGGACATACGAACCAACCTCTATAAATTTAATATCATCAATGTTAAAAAATTAATAGTAATTTACCTAGCGCTTTATTAACGCTCTCCTTTAATTTTTTATTCTTTCTTCCCTCTTTACTAGCACCAATACTTTTCAGCGCATTGATGATAAAAACCGTACTCGATGACATTAATCGAGAACTGAAATTCTAAATTTAAGGTTTTTATTTTTATGATAAATTGGAAGCAGATAACACAATCGTTACAAAATTAAGTTTTCAGTTTTTTTAAATATTTATGAAATTTCTATTCTGAGAAAACGACCAATCAGAAAAAGTAACACATGATTTGTAGACAATAACACAGGATTTAACCAGGATGAACAGGAGTTTATTAATCTGATTTATTTAATTTCAAAATGAGCGAAGGAAAAAGGAAAGGAGCTTTCAAGCTGCAATCCATAGATTTAGCGGGTGCAGGTCGGTCTGACGCAATTTCGACAACATCTTCTGTGACTGCATCTATTCTATCACAAACCCCTCGTCAGTTTTCTTCTAATGCAACCTATAGTTTTGATGCCAATGATTTTTATTCAACTTCTATAAATCAGCGGGTATCGCCAACAATGTCATTACATGGCCGAAGTTATAAACGCGGGCATTCACACCGCCCCTCAATGAATTCCACACTATCTAATTTTAGCACCATGTCGGAAACGTCATTACCATGGACTACCAAGGTAATATCGTCTTTGGTTTATTTAATAAAACTATTTATATACAAATGCCTAATGTTCTTTTTGGCAAATTGTCAAAGTTACAAACAATAATGCTATGGATTTATTACATCTTTTTTCCTCTATTTTTGCATTGATTCAAAAAATTAAAAAGGACATCGGGTTTAATGGTATTCCATAAATTAAACAGACGTTCAGAGTAATTCAATTTCAATATATGCGATCTGACATTTATTTGAATTAAATGTTATATAGCTATTTCTGGAGTGCTAAATAATCCAAATGCAATAGTTTCAAACAAAACCAAACCTCTAAAGAATGATATCCTTCCTGTACCTCGTACTACTATAAGAAAAGTAAAACCAACCGATTTCAAAAGTTATATTAGGCAAATTTCTCCGGTATTTAAAAGGTATATTCATAATAAAGATAATCAAAAGCCCTTGACTACAAGTATCTTGGAAGTAAATCTTGGAAATTTGCAAATTTCGCATGATGACTATGAAATTCCCGTTCACCGGCTAGAAAGTACGAGAAATCCTTATACTATACCTATACTTCCACAGTCCCCTGACGAACCGCAATATTTAAAGCCTGATATTGAGCTTCCGCTATTGGAGGTGGTTCCCTCAATATTTTTTGATCCAGATTTCGACCTAAAAAACCCAAAAACTTTTGATATTGTGTGTGAAAAAACTGAAGACATTGAGAATAATATTGATAGTTTATCGATTTCCACTAATGCGATTATTCAAGAAAAGCTTTATCTTTATCTTGACACAGTTGAAATACATCTTGTCAATGAAATTTCTTTACGATCTTCTTCATTTTTTACAGCTTTATCAAATCTTCGAGTTCTACACTCTGAGACGTTGGAATGTATTTCTCAAATTAATAGTTTGCGTAAAAAATTAGCACGCATAGAAAATTCTCAAGTTAAACGGGGACTCGAAGTTGTGAGATTAAAACGTCGTCGCGAAAATATTGCTAAACTTTACAAAGGTATAAGAATGATTGCTGAAATACGTTCAACACAACCGTTGATACAAATGTTGTTAGGACAAGGTGATTATTTCTCCGCTATGGATTTCATTGAAAAAGTAAACATTATATTGAGTTATGGCAAAGGTCAAAGTTTCAAAGTGCCGATGTCTGCAAAAGACGATCCTAGAGCCATTATTATACGCAAACTAAATATTATAACTAAGGAAATCAAAAGTTTCGGTGTACTCAATTTGCAAAAAGTTAAAGCGTTAACGTATTTTAGTGAACGGCTTAATGAGATGGACAAGATGATTGGCATAACGATGGAAAATGATTTTTTGAGTGTATTATTTTCTGATTTTAATGAGCATATTAAAAATGTGAATACAATAAATGCAATAAACATTCTCTATAATAATAGCAGTCATTTAGCAAAGAATAATGTTACTAGTGTTGTTATAAGCGATAATTTAGTAACAGAAAAAGAAGAAAGACTAAAGATTCGGATAGGACCTCTTCTTTTAGGCTTATGTGAGATGAATCGATTTGAATCTGCTCTACAAACATATCGTGAAAGAATGGTGGATGAAATTAAATGTATAACCCAGGTTCAAAAGGTCTGTATTTGACTTAAAAGAAACTTAATATATTAAATTCATTAATTAGTTATTTTATATACGATAGTATTTTCAATCGTCGATACCGCTTGATGATGCAGTAGAAGATCAATCGGATGACGATCCATTGATGGAATACAGGTATAAATCCTAAAACGTTTCTATCGAGAGACTATAGTGTTAAATAATATTTTAATTCACGTTAATTTCAATTAGTTCACAAATTACAAATTTGATCAAAGAAACGTCTTTTGATGCATTTTTAGAGGTGTTATCATATATATACGTGGTATTACTTGAAAGCATAAAGAAGATAGCAGTTTACAATGAGGTTTTCTCATCAATTTTGATTGATATTCCAAATACTGATCTAGAAATTCATTCTGAAAAAAACCTGATTGAGAATGAAAAGGACTTACCAAATAACAACTTACAAGCTGATGATGACAATAATTCAAAAGAATCAACGGAGATTGAAATTACGACTGCTGAAACTCAAAATGAACATATTGAGTCAAAGAATTCCAAATTTAGAACTGCTTTAAAATTCACTACTGGAATAAAGTCTATAATTAAAAAGACAACATTTTTTACAACTAAGTCACAGGCATCTCTACCAGAAATAACACCTAAAATTTCAGAATCTACATCACCTAATTCTCAAACGAGTGAGATATTGGATAATAATAATTACGCGAAAATAACATCTGATTCTTCACAAATAATATTTGTCGTAACAGATTTAGCTCATGTATGGTGTGCAAACTTGATCTCAATTCGTGCAGATCAAAATGCGCAGTTAAATCAAAAAGATTTTTACCGATTATTTAACATAACATGGGCATTTGTACTAGAATGCGAAAGTTTGTGTGGTCGTGCATGTTACGGTCTTCGAGGAACTATAACTTCACAAGTAATAAATTAATAGTAATTGCCTTTTTTTCTGGGTTGTTTCTATGTTTTAATTTATCACTGTTTTTTATGGTCTTTTAGGCCAAAGCATTTTTAAATAATTTTCACGCTGAAAAAATAAAGCAAGAGGCAGCATCAGTAGAAAACGAACAATGGGCACAAGCAGAGGTTCCTATCCACTTTCAACAAACAGTAAACCAAATTGTAGCTGCTGCCGTAAAAGGATTATCTGACTTCAGGTATAATCCACTTGACTGTAAGAATGAAAACGAACAAATTGTCCTGAATAATTCAGATACGAAACAGAACCATATTGATAATATTGGCAAATATATATTTGTTGAGGAACGGCGATTTTTTATGGTTGGATGTGGCTTGACACTCCTTAGAATACTTGACGATTATTTGGGTTATATGGCCAATATTCCTGTATTGACTGTCGAGACAATGAATAAAATTACGGAAGTCTTAAATGTTAGTGTTTAAACTATTCTTTGTAAATTTTTTTTTTTATATATTGTTCTTAGGTGGATGATCCTTTGTATTAATTGCTGTTTATCAGTTATTTAACTCACGAATTTGTCAAGTGATTCTGGGAGGTGGTGCTAGACATTCCGCTGGATTAAAAATTATCACTGCCAGGCATTTAGGTATGTTTTATGATTCTTAATAACAAAATAAATTTATATTGCAGTTCTGACGCATTTTCTCTTTGTTCCATTCGTTAGCTCTTGCGTCTCAATCACTTGGTGCTATCATTACACTGATACCATTTATTCGCGAATGTATCCGAAATAACCTTAGTGACAAACAAATGATAATGTTAACAGAATTTGATCGGATTAAAAGGGTATGTTCATTTTAAAGACGAAAATAGATTTTATCTTAATCGCAATATTATATAAATTCATCTTTATAGGACTATATAAACCACCAAAATGAAGTGCATGCTAAACTGGTGTCTATTATGGATACACGACTATTAGTCCATCTTAAATCTTTTGGGGTATTGTCTTCAACTTATTCTATTATTACGAAAAAATCTATTATGAATGCTAACAAAAATAAATAATTTTAGTCAATAACGTGGGACGAGTCGAATAAGAAAAATGGACCAAATTCTTATATAGAATTATTGGTAAAAGAAATCATTAAATTGCATAATGTTTTAAATAAGATTTTACCGCAGGAGATTTTACAGGTATCTTTTTAGAAAACTCTAATGGATAAATAAAGATGAACTTTATTAACACTTCGCATAATTTATTAGAAAGTAATGTCAGATGTATTAAAATCATCGAACGTTAAACTTGCAGAAGAAATTGCTAAAGTGAATATTTATACGCCTGCTGGAAAAGAACGGTATGAAATATTATTAATTACTATATATAACTACTTATTTCACTTAGCTAACTGTGAATCTTCTAATTTATTCCAAACTAATCATGAATTATCATAAATAATTTTTTAAAAACGCCAAATCAATCCTTGTTTTACTTTTATTTAATTCAAAGAGTAACCCAAGATGTTCGATATTATATTCGTAAATTATCAGCCTTAAACATTCAAGAACTAGCTAATGAATTAGAAACCGCAGTTAGTAATTTGCCAATTAAAGAAAAGTCAGAAGATGAAACTGTTGATTTAACCTCATCACCAGCATGAATGTTTGTAATTGCAGTAGCTATTCCTACAATAATGATAAATACTACAATAATAATTTATCTATTAAAATGATGTTTTATGTAGCTGGATCCAATGATAATAATTGGGATTGTTTAATCCTTGAAAATTGTTTTATAATTCTGGACTAATTATATTAGTCATTACAAAAATATTTTAATGTTGGCTAAATTAAACAGTTATTAGAAAATTTAATTTCTATTTCATAAAAGTATTAAATCAAATTTCTTATTTATTTTATAAAACTTAATCCTTCTTCTTCCTTGGGATATATCTTATTCTTTTTCAAATATTCATCATTCCTTATAAGTTATAATAATACAAATAAATAAAAATTACTAGGGCTTTATTAAACTAATAATAATACTTACCAAAATTTGGTTAAATGCTATAGCACATTTGATTGTTTCATAAAGCCATACAGAAAAATTTAATCAACCATTAGGAAGAGATGTTAACCTGCAAAAAAAAAAAGACAATATTTGTTGCCAAGAATTATACTGGCATTTGGAATGAATTACCAGTGTAAGTCGACTAATTTGGCATCATTCCAAATTTCAGTATCATCCTTAACATTTATTACCACAAACATACACGTTGACCTGAATCGCACAAAATCGTAACTATACGATTTCCTGGGCCTAACTGTCTAGCAACACGCACACAACCAACGCAATTAATCGCCGACGAGCTTCCAACAAAAAGACCTGGGTAGTGTACCCAGCACATGGCATTATTAGTGTCCATTGTCAGGCCATATTTAATCTTAATTGCAACGAACCTTCTTCCCGAACTAAAAATCTTGCCATTGCGACAGCCTCTTCATCACTAACACGTATCGCATCGTCGATTAACCCACATGCAGAATTAAAGTTTTCAGTCATACGATTTAAACCAACTCCTTCAATAATAGTATCAACTTGATGTCTACGTCGTGTACCCTCAGCTTCATATGGCGAATACATAATATTATATTTTATCTTATTATATAATCCAGAGCCAGGCGGGTCAACAAGAAATACCTTCAAAGAAGGTATGAGTGGTTTAAGATAGCGTGATATTCCAGAAATAGTGCCTCCAGTGCCTGTAATTGAGCACAAAACATTACTTAGTCGAATTAATTTAATATAAATAATTGTTAACACTTTAATAATTAATGTGTACCAGCCCCTGCAACAAATGCATCAATTTTGCCGTTTGTTTGCTTAAATATTTCAGGGCCTGTTCCACAATAATGTGCTTCACTATTTGACAAATTTTCGAATTGATCAGCAAAGAACCCAGTCTTTCCAGAAGTATCTACAGAGTTTTGTATGTCAATAATTTCAAACTCTTTATCCACAGTATCTTGTTGAACGGCTCTTTGTTTTCCAAATTGCTTTGCACGACTTTTAGCTAAATTGACAAATTGCTGTTTATCTACAATACTTGCTGGCATCACTTTTTCAACTTTTGCTCCTAACTTTTCTAGTAATTGATACTTTTCTTCTGCTTGATCATCCGGCATTATGATCCATGCATTGTAACCTTTGGCACGAGAAATAATTGCGATGGATATCCCTGTTGAACCTGAAGTTCCCTCAAAAATGGTGCATCCAGAATTTGGACTTATCAAACCTTGTTCTTCAGCTTTGTTTATTATATTAAGAGCAGCCCGATCTTTCAGGCTACCCCCAGGATTTAAAAACTTTATAAGATAGAAAATTGTTAATTTAAGTTGCGTTAACAATAAAATGTGGTTAACCTACCTCAACTTTTGCCTGTAGGAAATTATGTATATCAATCAATAAAATCACAAGACAAACAAACAACTAATTACGTTATAAATTCCTTTACCAATATCTCACAACCTGTTGCTTCACTTAAACTCTTGATCCTCATAAGTGGCGTATTGCCAATTAAACCCAAAACGCCATCTACAATATTTTCAGTTCCAGTATAATTATCATGGACATCAGATCTGCTCGTCGTTTGTTTTTTTTTAATCCATTTTAATAAAGAATTAGTAGAAATAGTGAGCACAACGCCCGCTATTAAGCCGAAAACAAGAGTAGTTGTATGTAAAGGTTGTTTAAAAATACTGTCTGATAACATGATGTTATAATGTAATTATTTTATATCGATATCGATATAATCCGATTATCATTAACACGTGGATTACAACGCTTGAATTCAGCCGATCAAATTAGCAATTTGTATTTTTTAAGGGCCCTGAACCTGTTGTACGGATTAAATTTTTGGTACCTTGTACGGATTCAGGTTTTTGTACTAAATTAACATATGTAATATCTTCCTATTATCACTGCGGAGAGGGTAGGACTCTGCTGGCATGCCCGGTACGTGCCCAACAAAAATTTTGAGGCACAGCGACAGAGCATGGGCATAGGCGTAGGCACTTAGTGCCTGCCTGAAAAATGCCGGGCACTTTCTTAGGCATCGGCACTAGGCATGACATTGGTACTAGTGCCCTGGCAACAATTCTTTATTAAATAAAGTGGTCTGGTAGGTTCCAATTTTTTATCTTAACGTGATCGTGTAAATTAGTCAAAATTTAAACATGTATAAATTGAGGCAAAATTTTAGAATCTCCTAAGTATAATACTTATTTATTTTCGATTATGCCTAAATAAAATTTGGATGAATTGGTTATGGCTTTTTTTCATAAGATTATTGACCCAAATCTTCTTTTTGAGCTTTACTTTGTATATTTACTTGAGTTGAATCTTTTAAATTCGTTCTGACAACTATAATTTGCTCAAATTTTGATTAAAGTTTATGCAAAAAACATAATAAAGTTTTTTTAACGCCATTATGATTATAAAATTTCATGTAAATAAATTAACTTAGCTACCAAAGTTTCAATCAAATATATTAAGATGTATGCAGGAGAAGCAAAGTATAAATAAAAGATGAACTTTAAACCAACTCGGTAAGCACAACATTAAAATCTATTGCTAGACCACATATAAGAGTAATATAATGATTCCAATCTAGTTGATACCAGATTTTATTGTTATTCGAATCCCAATGACAAACATATGGTGCGCTAGTAGGACATGTAGGTTGACTAGCTGCATGAGTTGTATTAATTCCAGGATTAGTATTAGCATAAAAGGGGTTTAATAGCTATTGCCGCCGTCATATTTTGCTGAAGCCAATTGATTTTGTTAAAAGAATAGTCACAGTCACTGCGAATGTTGTAGAATATCTGAAATTATTTGATGAACGTTAATTATTCACTAAAAAATACTGCTGGTCATATTTTTTTTAAACAACAAAATTAATAAATTATTTCAATCCAAATATTAGGATGTAGACATGTATAGATGATAGGCATACGCTTTTGTGAATGTGTTGGTCGTTGAAACCATACACCAACATCAGGTCTGAGATCTTTATTCCCAACTACACAGATAGTATTGCTGCTTGTCAACCAATTTTGATTTTGATTCTCAAGAGAATTTGCAAGTTTTCTATAAATTAATTCTTTCTCTAAGCTATTATACTAAAATGATACAAAATTATTAAAAGTTGAAAAATTTTTTACTCACTTTGATGAATAGATCAAATCGCATTGTAGATTTTTTCCCGTATGTTAAGGTCGCCAAGTTCTTTAACAGGAAATTTGATCTTCACAATGCCTGTATCTTGTCCCTTCAGTTCTTGTTCAATTTTATCACGAACCTTAAACCAAAAAGATCATTAGTCAACCATTTCGTTTTCATTATTTTTTGTAAATCTAAAAATTATTGAGTAACGATAATGATATTTTTTGTATAACGTTAGAAAAGATCCATGTCAGCAATAGTTGCCATATTAGAAAAGTGTTACAAAATTTTTCAGAATCCAAACAAGATAACCAAAGCAAATGCTTAAGGAAACCAAGAAATAAACAGGACAGAGCTGAGAAGGCTTAGACTATTATTATCGTTATGAATTCTATAAATATTCATCTAAAAAATACATATCACAATTTCAACAATAATCACAAAAATAATTACTAGAAGACTCGCAACAATAATTATTAAATAATAAACTCTAGACACAAAAGATCGATTTTCAAGTACATATGAGATTCGAATCATCAATTGATATCATTGATTAATTAAAAAAAATTAAACGCAATTTAGATATATGAGTGCAAAACCTAGAACTTTATTTAATAATTTACTACAGGTTTTCATATATTAACTTATATTGCTAGACAAAAGTAATCCTGCATCTATATATTCTTACTGTAAGATTCTAGAGTCCTGAAACTTTTAAAAAAATTAGTATCTATTAAGTATAGATTGTGTATTTTCTTGGTAATTTTTCAATTACTAGAAAAATTTTTAAAATTTGATGTAATTTTTTTAACAAATAAAAAAAAACACTAAATTTAATTAAAATTAATATAGTTTCAATTTTTATAATCATATTAAAGTTCAATGATTTTAATTTTCTGAAAGCCTCAAAACTCTAGAATTTCACAGTGAGAAGAGATAGGTGCGAAATTACTTTTGTCTATGTAGTACTACTTATGAAACAGTTTATGAAACTGCTAAGCTATCATTGTATCTAATTGCTTTTCTTAGCTTATGAAACTAATCATGAAGTCGCATAATATTTATAAATTATTTAGAAATCATTAAATCAAAAATTTTCTCTCTTATGCAAATATAATTTAATTTTTTAAGCAAACTTACCTGAAATACAGATTAAGGAATAGACGCAAATTTCAACATAAACCAGGCAGACTGACTGGCAGGCGGCGATGGAGGCCAATTTCAGCATAAACCGCAACAATAATATAAAAACATATATTTTGTTTATACATATTTGAAGATTCATATATAAAATTTTAAATAGTAATTAGCAATAAAATTACGATTAATCTTGCTATTTGGTACGATTTGTACGTATTATTTGCATATTAGTAACACATCAAATATAAGTCAGTTAATGAGACATATCAATGTTACAACCAATTGATCTATATTTGTGTGTGTTAACTTGTGTTTATGATTAATAAATAACCCAATAAATAATTTTCTACCCCTAAATAAAGACCGGGAAGTGTATTTGAAGGAAAAAATGGACGTAATCTGATTTAAGTCCGAACTTTAATATTGGTCGTTTTTAATACACACGATTTCCGCCACATTATCCGTAATCTTATAAAATTTTTGTACGTACACAGTCTTCTTTGATTGTCAGACAACCATGCATACTTAAGCGACCCTGAACAATTAGTTATTTTACATTGTGCGATGACTTGATCTCCGATCCGGTCCGTATGGAGTACTATTGAAATCCGACTTTATACACATTATGTCATAGCGCCAACATTCATTCAAAAATCACGTTTGTATTTTTTTGTGGGATCTGCATGACCCCCCATAAAAATTAAGGGTTACTTAGTTTGTATTACGTAACTATATAAATAGTACACAAGCATTTTTAAACGCAGTTTTGTTTTCTCTTTCTTCGATGTAAAACCACGATCCTAAACTACTTTTGTGACTACTTCCTACACTTAGCTAATAATCCCATTTTTAATTAACAATGACTTCCGAAGGGATACCAATTCATATAAAACAGCCTATGATTCATAGAAATGTATCCGAAGAAAGCATGCTTGACTCAACGCCCGAAGTTACATCACTTGAAACTTCGCAAGAGACATCAATTACAAAGTTATCGGACATTATATCACAAACAATTCAATTTACTTCGGCTGTTTTCAAATTTATGGCATCAAAAGATCCTTCATTACGAACTTTTGCTCCTGAAATAGCTTTTATTTTAGATGCTATTATGAACTTTTTTTCGACAACATCAAAAGTTAATTTAGTATTATATCTAATGATTTTCTTCACATGGAGTTATCTACAGAAATCTCCTTTAATGTTGCTAATTCTTGGATGCGCTTTTGGCTATATGCTTCGATGTAACTCTGATACATCTAGCCAGAACCCGATTTGTTTGGCACAAGAATCTTATATACAACAAAATACTCAAATTTCTCTACAGGTGATTCTTATTATACGTTATTTTTAATGGGCCAATGCTTCTGAAATCAATATTAATATTTGTTGTTCCGATAACTAAGGCTATTGAATGTGAAAAAGCAACTTCTTCAGAACTTTCTATTACCCCTCGGGTAGATGATTCATTAAATAAAGCATTTGATTTTATCATTCGGGATATAGTTGTTTTTTATTATGATCAAATAAATTCAAGCAAGGATTCCGAATTTCACATTCATGTACGAAACGCCATGAATGTTATGGCAACAAATTTATCTTTGTGCCTCCAGAATATTGATAAAGTAGAATTAGGAATAATGTCTAGTTTTGCTATTGCAAACAATTTTATTGTCCATTTGGTATGCATTTATTAAAAAATTCTTGTATTAATTATCTCGGCCTTTAACAATTTTTTCTTCTTTTTTTGGTATTTAATAGCGCGAATATAAAAAGTTTATTTTGACAAATGAATCATTGAGCACTTATTGCTCACAAAATGAGACATCTCTACTTGCTCATACCACAAATAGAGAATTACAAGCACAAGTACTCCGTTCCCTATCTAAATTATTGTTCTCCCGTCTTTTACCAACAAATGAGACTCAAAGTCATATATTGATGACATTTTTTTCCGAATTATGGGCTATTCAGATTTTTGAAGCAATACTCGAAAAAATATGTGATTCAGATTGGTTAAATTGTACTATTGTTGATTATTTAACGGATAGTGATCCAGATGAAACTCAGGAAGAAACATTTTTTCACCAACTAGCAACTTCGATAGACGAGGAAGTGGCTGGTCTGACTGATAAATTTAAGGAACCATCGAATGAATATCAAACATCAATATCAAATAATCAATCTTTGACTATACAAACTACATTATCTCAAACAAATATGTCCCCTGATTTTAATGCTGAGCAGACAAATTCCGTTGAAATTCATGCATCTCCATCATTCTCATCACATCATTCATCTATAAATTCTACTTATTTAAATGAAGAACTTAAAAATTCAGTTGAAATTAATACGGAGATTCTCTTACCTATTAAAGAAGTTGCAACTCCTACTACATCACCTTCATCACCTTCATCACGTCGTTCATACATGCGTTCCGCTAATACAGAAAAATTACGATCGATTCTTGAACTCCAATCAAATACTTTTGCTGAATTTATGGCTTTTTTGGAAGAACGTAAATCAGCAAATTTACTTCGATTTTGGCTTCAAGCTGATTCATTCAGGAAAATTGCTGCTAACGAAACAAACATAGAACTAATTCAAAATGACGCAATGGGAATTTTTAAAACTTATTTTGGTGAAGCCGCTTCATATCCTGTGAAAGTTGTTAATGATATATTAGTGAGGCAATGTGCTAGAGAGATATCGAAGGGACCTACATGTAGTTGCTTTAGAAAATTGCAAGAGTATGTATTTGTAGTGTTGGAAAATGAATATTTCGATGATTTTATTCAAGCGATGAAAAAGCAAGGTGAAGATATGAGTTTTATGTATGTTGAGGAACCGGCCCAATTTGAAAACCTATCTCGAGGAGAAGATAAACATGTTATAATGAATGATATATCGATTGAAGATCAGGTTTATAAACGTAATAACACAATGGACAATTCATCCTTTGGTTTTTTAAACCGACCAAATTACTCAGATTATTCATTGATTAACGACAATGAGTCTATAGGACCAATAGAAAGTCTAGTACATCATTCTAGATCATTTACTACTGGATTTTTTATGGATGCACTGAGATTCAATGAAAGTTCCGTAGACACGCTCGTAGAAGAAAAGGATGACCCTCCAAAAATGCCAATTATGAATCTTAATGGAGTAAGAATAAAAATGACAGATATTTCTGAAGCGTCTTCAAATAGACTAATTTATTCAACAAAATCTCTTACCTATATGATTGAAGTTGAACAACCTGGTTCCGCAGGATGGATTATGACTCGAAGCTTTAACGACTTTGAGGCAATGCATTCAGCTTTGGGAAAAGAATTTCCTAAAGCTGAAAAAGTAACAATGCCACGTTTAATGTTAAAAAAGAACCATGAGGCATGTCTATCTTTAGAGCGATATTTAAATATTTTATTGAGTGATATTTCTTTATGTGAAAGTGAAGCTCTCCAAAAGTTTATGAAAAGAGACGGTCTTCCAAAAGATGATTTAGGAAAACCAACTAGTAAAATAAATAGAGCTCTGTCGATATTATCAATTCCAAGATCCATATCTATGGTCAATCTTGTTGGCACAAGCCCACAAGATACTACTAAAAATCAAGGACTTCCTTCAACAAAGTCTAGTTTCGAAGGATCATATTCTAAAAGATCTTCAGATAATGATCCGACATATACAGATAGGCCACAAGAAATGTCTGATGAAATTTCCGTTAAAAACTCTCCAACTTCAACATTTTCACTCATTACATGCAATAGTATTGAGAGTACAGCTTCAGATGAATCAATAACATTACCTGTTGAGAATGATACACCTGAAAAAGAACCTGTTTTAGAAAAACCTCGACGTCCAAGACCAAATAAACAAATGACAGGTCAAGATATTGATCTTCTTATTGATACAATCTTTGATACTATTGAAGAAATATTTGATTTGTCAGAGAAGTCTCAATGGCATCTTCGAAAAACCGTTTTATCTGTTTTAAGAGGTCTGGTACGGAGATCTTATACTGTAGCAATAAAGCAGTACTTTCTAACCACTATTGACTCAATTTCCACCGAAGACTATATTGTGTCGTTGATTGATGGTTTTTCCAACTCATTTTGGCCAAATGGAGTATGGGCAGATGCTGATCAACAACGAAGTGAAGAAGAAAAATTACGAACGAAAGATGAAGCTAAACGACTACTCTTACAATATGCTATACCAGATTCTTTAAGACAAGTGATGGGTTATGAAAATTCTAAAAATATGGTTGGAAAACTAGTTGATGGGTTTTTAGCAGAGAAAGAAGTTGTAAGAGGGATGGGTATTAACATCTTGGAAAGCATTGTTAAACTTATTATAAATGGATGAGATTCTTTTAATTATCTTTATTATTGTAATAACTCCCCACTTTTGTAGATATGTACATGTTAAGGTCGTTTATAAATGAACTTGGTATGTTATGTAGTTTTATATGAATTATCTACTTTATTATTCATTATATTCATATCGGTATATTTTTCTTAATTTTGAGTTAGATAATTTGATATCAATTTAATAATATTTTGGTTAAATTATCTAATGTATCTCAGCAAAAATCTCGTTAAAATATAAGTAATCTCTTAATAAATAGGCATTGAGGTCCAGAATTAAGTTATAATTTTGATAATCATAATTACCAAAGGTCATTCAAATTTCGATCCAAGATTATATGCCGAAATAACATCCATTTACGTGTTATTTTGAATACGCGTCATTTAGAGTACAAGCATAGGTGTTATTTTGAATATATAATCGTCATTTAAAATACGCGTATGGGTATTATTTTGAATATATACGAGTAAGTAAAATACTTTTTACATAATACATAAAAGAATTTTATTAAATTTACATTTTTCTGGTTAATAGTAACCCTCATTACAACCTTATTAGTTTAGAGGATATCAGGGCAACAATAAAATTCTAAATCTATATGAAATTTTTTTGATAATGTATGTATTATCCCTTAATCTGTAGGTTTTTTCAAGCAAATTTGCTTAGAAATTTATTAAAAATGTGCTCATAATTTATTTTTTTAAATTTTAAAATATTTAAATAAAATTTTATTTGTTAATATTTGAAAATAAGCATTATATTATAAAGAAAAAATATATTGTTTATAAATTAAAAATAAATTTGGAAATATTTTTAATCAAGAAAATTATTTAAAAGTTGAATCTTATAGTTTAGTTGTTAAGTTTTCATTTTTTTATAAACAAAGTCAATAGCTTAAGTCTGACTAAAGATAAAATACTTTATAACCAAAAATAAAACCTATAATCAAATGCAAAATCTTGTGAAAGTTCAAGTAAAAGTACATATTTGATTTAAAAAATTTTCAAAAAATTAGTATAATAAAGTGCAGACATTACTATAATAAGAAATGTAAAAAATGTTATCAATGTTTGTAAAAAGGATTGATCTTACTTAATATAAAATTATTTCTAGTATCATAAATTCAAATAGGTGTAGTAATGAGAACTACTTTTATTTAATAGAATTTATGTTAAAAGTAAAGTAGTCTTAAGGTCTATTATTAAAAAAATAAGTTGGTATTATAAAAAAAAAAAAAAAAAATATTAAACAACACAACACTCTTTCCTATAGATTATCAAAACAAATAAAATTAACAAAAAATTAAAAATAATATTACAAGTTCTCTTTAATAATATAGTTTTTCTTTAAAATATTAGATTTAGCATTGTTATAATTAATACTACTAAAAACCTAAAAGCCACAAGTAGCTAATTTTGGTCTGGTTGCTAATGCAAAGTTGGCAACTTTAGTAAAGAGTAAACAATTTTGTTTATTTATTTTTTCTGATCTGTACAGATTAATCAACTTGGCCTGCTCTTCTTAAAGTACTATAAAGGCTATAGATTTTGTTTATTTAGTATATTTTCTTTTTTATTTTAATATAAAACTTACTTCTATTGAAACCAAACTATTTGGAAACTTCAAGTCAGTTATGAAAATTTTTTCTGACAAAAGTGGGACATCACACTACTCCAGAAAAATTATAAAGTACATATGATCAATCAAAACAGTAAACATCAAAAACAAACAAGCAGTCATGTTTCAGATATAGAAATTTACAACAATCGGCAAAAGAAAACAACAAACATCAAGTCATGTACAAATCTAAATTAAGGAATAAATAGTCAAATAACAAAAATACAAAAATAAATCAAATGAATAAAATAATCAAATGAAGATAATCAACAAACAAAGCCTAATTCAGCAGATACAAGAAATGGGTAACAAATTGCATAGATACTTAAATTGCAATAAATTAAATTGTATCCTGGAAACATCTATGACAAAAAAACCAAGTAACTTAGAAACTATAACAAAAAACTTAGCTCTTAGTGATTCTCAAAAAATTATAGCTAAAGATCATCTACTATATAGTTAAATATTCAAAGTCCTAAGATATATATCTGAAGAGACTAAAATAGTATCAAAGAAAACTATTGAGAAGTGGACAGTAAAATTAAGATAGTAAGTCAAAATCTAGACTTAGTTGATTACATATTAAGTTTAAACAAAAAAAAAATAAAAAAAGAAAAGAGTAAGATGGAGAGGATTGAAGAAAATAATAGAAATTAAGAAAATTATTCTAGTACAATATTAAAAAAAAGATGACAAGCAGAAAATACAATGATAACAGATACAAAAGTAAACAACATTAGCAAAAAATATAAGTGAAATATTGCAAAAGATTTTGCATACCAAAAATCTTTTGAAATAATTGCGATTGATGCGAAATTATTAGCAAATTTTCACAATAATACGAAATAATTAGCAAATTTTCACAATAATGTAAAATAATTAGAAAATTTTAACAATAATGCAAAATAATTAGAAAATTTTCATAATAATGTGAAATATTGTAATCAGAAAATTTTGATAATAATGCAAAATAATCAAAAAAATTTCACAATATTGCGAAATAAACAAAAATTCTACTATTACAAAATTAAAAAAATTTCAAACCTATTTATTAATTTATTTAATTTTTAATTATTATTTATTAAATATAATTTTTTATTCAATTTTTATTAAATAATAATTATATAATAATTATATAATAAAAAAAAACTATTCTATATATCCCAGTTTCTATTAAACCTTCTCAGCAAAGCACAAAACCTACTAACAATACAAAAAAAACAAAAAAAAAACAAAAAAAGTAAACTGGTACTTAATTTATACTGGTTCCAAGTTCAAGATCCCAATTTCAGTTACCATTAACCCTTCCTGGCAAAGCATAAAACCTAAAGAAAAAGAAAGTAAAAATTAGTAAAAGATAAAAAAAAATAAAAAAAAAATAAAAAAAAGTGAACTGGTACTTATCTTTGTATCAGTTTCAGGTTCAAGATCCCAATTCCAGCCCCTATTAATCCTTTCTGGCAAAGTATAAAACCTAAAGAAAAAGAAAGCAATAATTAGTAAAAGACAAAAAAAATAAAAAAAATAAAAAAAATGAACTAGTACTTATCTTTATATCAGTTCTAGGTTCAAGATCCCAATCCTGGCCCCCATTAACCCTTTCTGGTAAAGCACAAGACCTAAAAAAAACAAACAAGAATTAGTATTAGTAAAAAACAAAAAAAAATAAAAAACAAAAAAAAATAAAAAACAAAAAAAAAATGAACTGGTACTTATCTTTGTATTAGTTCTAAGTTCAAGATCCCAATCCTAGCCCCCATTAATCCTTCCTAGCGAAGCACAAAACCTAAAGAAAAAGAAAACAAGAATTAGTATTAGTAAAAGCAAAAAAAAATGAAAAAATGAAAAAAAAATGAACTGGTACTTATCTTTGTACCAGTTGCAGATTCAAGATCCCAATTTCGGCCCCATTAACCCTTCCTGGCAAAGCACAAAACCTAAAGAAAAAAAAAGCAATAATTAGTAAAAAACAAAAAAAATGAAAAAAAATGAAAAAAAGTGAACTGATACTTATCTTTGTACTAGTTCTAGGTTCAAAATCCCGATTCTGGCCCCTATTAACTCTTCCTGGCGAAACACAAAACCTAAAAAAAAAGAAAACAAGAATTAGTATTAGTAAAAGCAAAAAAAATAAAAAAACAAAAAAAATTGAACTGGTACTTATCTTTGTACTAGTTGCAAATTCAAGATCCTAATCCTGGCCCCCATTAACCCTTTTCAGTAAAGCACAAAATCTAAAGAAAAAGAAAGCAATAATGAGTAAAAGACAAAAAAAAAACAAAAAAAAGTGAACTGACACTTATCTTTGTATCAGTTCTAGGTTCAAGATCCCGATCCCAGCTCCTATTAACTCTTCCTAGCGAAACACAAAATCTAAAAAAAAAAACAAGAATTAGTATTAATAAAAGCAAAAAAAAACAAAAAAACAAAAAAAAAACAAACTAGTACTTATCTTTGTACCAGTTGCAGATTCAAGATCCTGATTTTAGTCTTATTAACCCTTCTCAGTGAAACACAAAACTACAAAAATGAAAATATTAATAACATCAAAAAAAAAGAAAAACAAAATAAAGTTAACTGGTACTTATCTTGGCACCAGTTCCTAGTTCAAAAGACATTAGTAAAAAAAAATGAAATTATAAAAAAAAAAAAATAAAAAATAAAAAAAAAAATCGAAAAACAAAAAAAAAAAAGATAAAAAAAA